TATAATATTTTCCATTTACTGATTAAACCGGAGAGATTTCAAGGTGTGAAACATATAGTGAAGATGTCAAAATCAAGCAGATATAAAAAAAAAAAATTTATTGTTTGGTGCAAAAATAGACAACAGAAAATGAGACAGAAATACGAAGGCGCATAGATATAGCGAAAGATATCTTTTAGACTCTAAGTAAAGTATTACAATATAAGAAAATGTCCCTAGAAACAAAGAAAAGGGTGCAAAACTGCTTTCGATTAATATCAGTTTGGCAGTGAATCCTGGACAGTATAATCGATTAAGAAAAGACTTGATTGATTGATTAATTTGTTTTCTATCAATCTTCTGCAAGTTATTTAAAGATAAGAAATAATTTTAGATTGTAGGAATTTTTAAGTCATAATAATGATTTAGTGATACAAGTTTTACTAATTAACCCATAGCTGGGAGAGAAGGATTCATAAAGATTTCTCAAGGGTATTTGCTCGAAGGGAATATAACAAACACAGCGGTAATTGGAAATCGGCTCACCGATTGTCAGTTCCGAACCATCTTCATTACACCACCCGGATATTCAAGCTTACGGCACCTAGTATTTCGAAGTGGTCACTTATCTAGATTCTGACGCATCTCGACATTGCTTAACTTCGGTAATCATACGGGAATTGGTGTCTCAACGTGATATGGCCGTAAGCCGAAGATACTTGAAGCGAAACTGGCATGGTTCTATCAACGAATACTAAGGATGTTATGGACAACAAAGATGATGATTGGTTGATTTTATTTAGCAGCATATCAACACCTTTATGGGCTATTTAATGCAGAAATCTAAATATTTTGAACACAAATTTATATCTTCAACTAAAAATATTTTGAACGTAATTCTATGGCTTTAACTACAGATACAAAACAATTATACGGTCAGCTTCTAGAAATCACATTTTAATTCTTTTCCAATGTAATAAAAAAAATTAATTTATTTACTGATTTTCCTTAAGATTACACATGCTATAGTAAATTGCGATTATATTTCTGGTATACAAACTAGTAAATGAAATTCTTACTCTGATATTTTCGGAATTTTGACAATATCTGAAGTATACCAAATGAATATTCTAAATATTTTTCAGGTTAATGTCTTCGTTTACGACGGATACATTGTTCGCATTTCTCAGCTTTATTTTGTAAAAAATTACCTCAGAAGTTAGGTTGCCCTAAATTTTATTTTATCTTACATTTCATCTCAACTTCAGCAAGACATTCTGGCACTATCACACGATTGAAGGTCTTGAATTTGTAAGTTTAATATATCAGATGAAACTGGGAGTTCGATTTATTCTTACCAAAGAAAGTTCCCTTACTGGTTCCTGTTGCTGGAACCATTAATTGATTCACAGTACCATACCTTTATATATTTGCTTGAAGTGACCTCTCATACAGAAGCCTTTAGTATTTTTCTATTTACACTGTTTGGACTATTGTCTTCATCTCTATTGTCATATTCACGGCGTTTCAACCGTTGTACGCACTTCAGGTGATATACGAAGGTGGAAAGGGAGATCACCGCCCCTATTGAAATAGTAGACAATGAATATCACTGGAAAATACGAAAGCTTAAGGAATCAGCGCATATGCTAAGACACAAAAATCTCCTAAGCCGACCGAGCATAGACTTGAATACAATATGGGAACCAGTAATACAGAGTGCTAGAGGAAAACAATAATAACAAGCTGTAATATGAGGTCTGGTAAAAAAAATAACTGATACATTAAGTTTATATTTCCTAAAAGTTCATACACTGATTGGTTGAAGTAATCCAATGACTTGACCTTAAGTGTTGTGAGTTCAATACCTGGCCACAGCAGAGGGGAACAAAAACTTGGAGAGTTGATTTACTAAAGGGAAATAACTGAAACTAAGATATCCAGAAAAGGCATGGCACGTGGAACTAGAACAATCTACCCCGGTGGAGGAGTTAAAGGATTTGGTTCGAAATTCCAACGTATACCATCTGAAGAAATCCGGAGCGTACAAAGGTCGAAACGTCTTGAATATGACAATAAAGATGAGGATAACAGTTCAAACATTGTAAATAGTGTAAATACCTCTTCTCAGAAATATAAACAGATACTATTTTTGTATTTATTAGTATTTTCTAATCACTAGTCTCCATAATGGACTTCTCAAGATGAAGAAAGTACTGCAATTTAACTATCTGGGAAGTTTTTTAACATACGACAGAAAATATGACACAGAAATCTTAAAGTATATTGGAATAGATGCTCTCCATAAGCTAAACAATTTGTTTAAAAACGAGAATTTTGTTAGGGACAAAAGATGAATGTTGAAATGCTATATACTATTAATCCTCCTATACGGCAGTGAATGCTAGACAATTTGTGCTGCAGACGAAGAGGAGACTTCAGGCAACAGTGAAGTTATTTAGAATTATGCTGAGGATAGCATGAACGGCGATTGTGAGAAACGAAAAAGCTTTAACAAAAATATAAACGAAATGACACCCATTCTTAGTTTTGTGGCCTCGTTAGGGGCCAGAAATAAAGACACAAAGACAAGAACTGAGTTAAACAAATATATTAACAGAATAAGTAGTACAAACATATACAAACGAGACTGTTACAGCAAGAATGTTCGGTTCGATTGTCAGAGCTGACTGCTGGTAACTTCCCTCTCCAAAAAGCTCTCTCATTTCAAACACAGTTGGAATTACCAGTCTCACGGAATTTTGTAACAGCGAGCAGGATCACTTTTTGGAATGGTGCTTGTCGATTTCCAAAATGCTATCGGAATTTCTTTTGGATGGATATTTGGCTGGTGAATTATGCTTCCTCGCCTTATGCAATTTCTTTTGCAGTCCACATTATAAGAGTCTAACGAGATATCAGATACTTGTAGAAAATAACAAAATCTTAGATAATATGTTGAACTCTTGTATATCAGTTACGTCATAAATATATTTGGTATTCTATATTATTTTTATAATTCATGATATTGTTATGGAGTGGTTTCACAGTGAAGGCTTGTATTTGTACTAAAGTTGGTCCTAAAATAGGTTCGACGTACAAAACGTTAGGAACTTGATATAATAGGTAATGACGCAGAGAAATCTAGTGGTGGTCGCTGATACTTTAGTATCCGACTAACGGTCGTCCGGCATCGACTGACTGAGCGAACTCACTGAGCTCCACCCTCACTCTTACTACTCCTACTTATTATAGGTGGGAGAGTCTATTAACTATAGAATAGGTGTGTTATACTATAACAGATATTTGCATTAAAAATGTTCCCCGTCATTATGGAACAACCTGTATATATCAAATAATTAAAAATACTTCAATCAAATCCTTCGCAAAAAAAATTGAGCACGTCCATTTCTTGAATGTGAAAAATTATACTTGTATTTTTCTTTTCTTTTTGTCGTATTGTGAAACATGACTATAAATAGTTTAATGAATTTTCTAATTGCATTGTTGATATTTCTGTTCGAGTAATCTAGAATTTTTGCGCATATAATTAATACTATTGTTGCATGTAAGAAAAAAATAACTGCTTTATAAAGTAAAAATATCAAACGAAAGTCACAGGAAATATAATAAAAATTCATTATCACCCTAGTCTCCGCGACTTACAGTTACTCTTGTTATAGTAAAATGAGAGATATTCACTTAATCGAAACCAGTGATATTTCTTGCAACAATAGGAAGAGAAGATTATGGTGGGTGACTGATAAATATATAAAGTCCCCGTGTTTATTTTTATATTTAAAAAAATTAAGTATATCTGAACGTAGATTAGAATCACATTTTACGAACAATTTTTTTTTTAACAGTAAGGTTCACCCTGTACAAGGCTAGAGGGCCACTTGAGGTAGGGGGTCACGATGGTTTCTATGAATAGAAGTGGAAGATAACGATTGACTCGAGACTTGAACAGGTTAAGATTGTAGTGATCGGGGAATCATATTCCAAGGAGTCGGTTCCATAGAGCAGTGGTTCGCGGGAAGGAGCTCTTTGAGTAGAACTTACTTCCCATCGATGGAATACGGAGGGAATGTTGGTGGTTAGCTACTATGTAAGTGGCATAATAGGTCCTAGCCGTGAAGATCAGACCTGATGGAATCAGGGGATGCAGTTCGTCCGAGCACTTTCCATAGAAGTAGCGATAAAGGCAGTGAGAGACTCATCACGTTCCGCCTGTAAAAGGGAGGCTGGATTGTGGAAAATAATTCTTCTCTCACAAGGACTAGGAGTTGCTTTTGAACTCTATCAAGACTGGAAAGGGAGGTCTGGGTACCTCCTTCCCAAGTATGGTTTGTTTTGTTTTACGGCATATCAACATCAATGGGTTATTATTTAATTCCGAGATCTTTTTTTTTTTCCTGGTAATAGTTCGTTTTGTCAAAAATCTATTTCTGGGAATATTTTTTCCTCAAAATGTATAGCTGGTAATATTATTTTCCAAAAACGTATTGCTAGTAATATTTTTTCAAAAATATATTACTGGTAATAGTTTTTTTGTTTTTGTTGTTGTTGTTTTTTTCTTCAAAAATTTATTTCTGGTAATAATTTTTTACGAAGTATCTCTAGTATTAAAACCTATTTTTACACTTTTATAATTCTTTTTACCTCAGTTTCGGGATTAACTATTTGCCCATAGCTGGGACTCTAACAGGTGCTACCACCCGGGGTCAGGGTTGACCAGGGAACACCAGTAATTAACAGGTGGTTCCATGCTCCTCAAAACCTCCTGATCAGATGTCAGGTACTTACAGGACCGGTACAGGGAGATGATCAAATTACCTGCATCTTTAGCGGTAGATCGTATATAGGATTTCCAGTTGAGGTCGGGTGTGAGTTTGAGGCCCAATATCCCTCCGAGGAACGTGCCCCACGTGGACTTTGGAGGTCTGAAAGGCAGGGTTAAATTTCTGTTACACATTGCACTTTGTTTCATAGTTTTACATTCATTTCAACATAAGAGGATTTACGATCATATCATTTTGAAACACCAGTTCCCGTACGATCACCGAAGTTAAGCACCGTCGAGTCTGGTCAGTATCTAGATTGGTGGCTAATTGTGAATACCAGGTTCTGTAATCATGGATGTACGGGTGGTGTAAAGGGCAACTGTTCTGAATTAGAAAATCCGAGAATCGAGTTCCAATTCCAGTCGGGTTCTTTATATTCACCTCCATGCAAATATCCTTGGGAAAGTTATCAAGCCACCCCATCTCCACCCAACTATGTGTTAATTAGTAGGACTTGGTATCAGTAAATCATTATTATCCAACGTACTTACAATCTAAAAATATTTTTAGCTTTAAATAACCTGCAAAGTGTTGATAAGCCATAGAAGATTATTTTGATCTCATTTTTTTATAACAAAATATATTGATATTTTGATAAGTATTATGGAAATGCATATTCAACAGTTAGTTTGCGATTGCGCATTACCTTTAGAATGAGATGCATAAAATTTACTTCGTATTCAGAATTGCATATCTATGTTTATTTACTATTAAATCTGTAGTAAATCTTTGAATCTCTGAAAATACTTCGAGAACAATAAAATTCGAAATATTAATTTATAATTATATCACAAACATCAAATTCACTTAACATTGTTAAATTTTGAAGGATCTTTTTCAGATATTCGAAATAATTTCTCATCATATGACGGCTACAAATAATTTAGTATCATCTGACGCTGAGACAAGCATCAACGTTACAGGCAATAAAAATAGAAAATGCCTGTCTTTTAGGTTATATTGTTGCCTGGTGGAAAATCACTAATAGTCTTAAGAATGCTAAAGGAACTGCTTGGTTTTTATGATCAAAATATATAAAATATATTGTGATTAAAAAATAAAACGATGACTTTTGAAAATTCTCTTTGGTAAATATACAGGGTGAGGCAAAAGTCGCGCACCATAGGAGTAAATAGATAGGTCGAAAAGGTTTTATTGAGTGGCCACTGGACTCACCAGACCTCACACCCTTGGATTGTTTTTCTGTGGGGGTCATTCGAAATCAGTTGCTTATCAGAGGCGCCCAAAAATATTGAGCAACTTAAAGAAAGAATTAAATATGAATGCAGAGAAAATTCTCCGAGGTGTTAATGAATCATGTCGGTGTAGAATTGAAATGTGTTTTGAAAAAGGAGGACATTTTGTTCATCATATGTAACAATTAAATAACTCGTAAATAAAAAGTCTATGTGTAATTAATAAATTATACCGATGGTGTCCGACTTCTGGTTCACCCTGTACATTCGACGTACCAATTTCTTTTTATTTGAAATCGAAATCTAGCTACGACAAATTTTATTATAAATTATAACGCAGCATTTATATATTTTGTATAAAATCTTTGCTTGTTAGACGACTATAGGGGTTAATTTAACCATGTTTTAAATTTCTAATTTGCTTTCGTATATCATTTTTGCCTCACTCTGTACAAATATATAGAAAACTTCTATTTTCAATGACAAATATCATAGAAACAATTTTTCCAATCTTTAACATTCTTAAATTTTGTCAGTGTAATTCTTTTTTAAATAACCCACATATTTATAATTAATGTGTTATTCATTCTCTTTTCATGATACATATGAAATAATTTGTTAACAAATCTTACGAATAGACCTTTCTCTTTTTCATTCGTTAAGGAATAAGAATTTTGTTTTGTTTTGGTTTCTACGATTTTTTTCCTGGTGAAAAATATTGGAAATATCACGAAGGATTTTAAAATGAGAAGACCAATATTTTAAAAAAATCCTTCTAACGTAGAAATGTATAAGTACTCAATGTTCTCTTTATTTTATCTACCTGGCTCTTATGCACAGACACGAGTGTCTGCATACAAACACACTTACACACACGTACACACATATATACAACCATAGATTAAACAAAGCAAACAACTGGAATAGATAGATAGATAGATAGATAGATAGATAGATAGATAGATAGACATAAATATTAACAGATAGATAGATAGATAGATAGATAGATAGATAGATAGATAGATAGATAGATATAAACTGACCTAAATATTAACATAGATATAAACTGACATAAATATTTACATAGATATTAATGTATTGAGATACATATGAACAGACTGTGATTGATAGATAGATAGATAGATAGATAGATAGATAGATAGATAGATAGATAGATAGATAGATAGATAGATAGATATGAAACAGAAGGAAAGGACAGAGAACGAAAAGTGATAAGATACATATGAACAGACTGTCAGTGAGATAGATAGATAGACATAAATATTAACACACACACACACATAGATAGATAGATAGATAGATAGATAGATAGATAGATATAAACTGACATAAATATTAACATAGATAGATAGATAGATATAAACTGACATAAATATTTACATAGATATTAATGTATTGAGATGCATATGAACAGACTGTGATAGATAGATAGATAGATAGATAGATAGATAGATAGATAGATAGATAGATATGAAACAGAAGGAAAGGACAGAGAACGAAAAGTGATAAGATACATATGAACAGACTGTCAGTGAGATAGATAGATAGACATGAATATAAATATTAACACACACACACATAGATAGATAGATAGATAGATAGATAGATAGAGATAGATAGATAGATAGATAGATAGATAGATAGATAGATATAAACTGACATAAATATTAAAATAGATAGATAGATAGATATAAACTGACATAAATATTTACATAGATATGAATGTATTGAGATGCATATGGACAGACTGTGATAGATAGATAGATAGATAGATAGATAGATAGATAGATAGATAGATAGATAGATAGATAGATAGATAGATAGATAGATATAAGAGAGATTGAAATATTTAGATAGATAAGAAGAGAATTGAGTTAGATAGATAGATAGATAGATAGATAGATAGATAGATAGATAGATAGATAGATAGATAGATAGATAGATAGATCTTACATATCCAACAAGAATCTAAATCCTGATGAGAATGCTTTTATCGATAATTTACAACAAAGTAATCTAGAACTGTGCTAGGTTCGATAGCAACCAAAATTAAAACGGTGCTGATGTCAAGAAAATCTAAGAACGCTCAGCCAAAACCTAAATGTCAATCTACTTAAAAATAAGGATACCCAAAAGAATTTTCAGGGAGCGAGGTTACAAGTTCCGGTGGAACATTATAAGCAGGAATCTAGCAGTGCTGCGCTGGGCTGGAATCTGGTGTATGGATGTAATTAGAGTGAGTGAGGCTGACTGTTAAGCAGTAGAAGAATATTTGGGTTTACGCAGGCGCAAGGATGTTTTTCTCCATGTAAGCACGCGTGCCAATGTGAAACATTTAGAGAATGTTTGTCGTGTCGTAATTAGTAAAGAACGCACCAGAGAGAAAAGACAAAGACAGAAATAAAATAATAAAGAGAGATATGAACAGGCTCAGTGCGGAGTAGATAACACTAGATGAAGGTAAGCAACAAGATTATCTAGCCTGCTATTCTCTTGGGTAATAGAAATGAATAACAGTAGCAATGATTGAAAAGAATATTCCAGAATAATGGGAAGGGGATTTCTCAGAACAGGAAAGATATTATTGGAAGATTGTTGATAATGGAGACACGTTATGAACTGGACAAGACTTAAGAAATTTGGATCAAGAAGGAAAAAAAGTTATGAAACATACATATAGCCTCATAAGCAAGGGTAAATTTTGAAGATCTCAGCTTTGAATATTCTGTCAACTCTCAAATAAATACAAAAGAGAGTGTAAAGAAAGATATATTATAATAGTGAGAAGTTGAAGAGAACCTGATAAGAAAATAAATATGCGATTTTATAAACATCTCCCAAACGTTAGGCCAAAATTAGAAATAAACACTATATTTCATTCTTCTTCTTCTTCTTCTTCTTCTTTTCTCCTTCTTCTTCTTCTTCATCCTCTTCTTCTTTTTCTTTTTTCTTTCTTCTCCTCCTCCTCCTCCTCTTCTTCTTCATCTTTTTTCTTCCTTCTTCTCCTCCTCCTCCTCCTCCTCATCTTCTTCTTATTCTTCTTTCTCCTCTTCTTCATTTTCCTCTTCTTTTTCTTTTTTCTTTCTTCTCCTCCTCCTCCTCCTCCTCCTCTTCTTCTTCTTCTTCATCTTTTTTCTTCCTTCTTCTCCTCCTCCTCCTCTTCTTCTAATTCTTCTTTCTCCTCTTCTTCATTTTACTCTTCTTTTTCTTTTTTCTTCCTTCGCCTCCTCCTCCACATCTTCTTCTTCTTCTTCTTCTTCTTCTTCTTCTTATTATTATTATTATTATTATTATTATTATTATTATTATCCCTTTTCTTATTATTATTATTATTATTATTATTATCCCTTTTCTTCTTCTTCTTCTTCTTCTTATTATTATTATTATTATTATTATTATTATTATTATTCTTCTTCTTCTTCTTTTCTTTTCTTCTTCTTCTACTATGTACCGTGTCCCTTCAGAACGTAAGCGGTCATGACTCTCCACAATTATCTGTTCTTTGAATCTATTAAAAATAGAAATCTATTAAAAACAGTCTTTTTACTATCTTCCCTAGTCCCTGTTATGCCAACCATTCAAACAAGCTCGTTAGGTAGGTTATTCACTGCTTTCCTCTATCCTTTTTTTATGTCATGTGATTGTCAAATTTTCTAAGCCCACTTTTCTCATTATGATCCCTAGAAAAGTCGGCGATCTGTTTCTGACTTATATATAAGTTGTCTTTTAATAAAACTTCGTCGTTTGCTCACAATAACTACTCTCTATTAATCCCCATAGAGATCATTCCCTGCCCTCCATTAGAATGTCTGACGCTCAACTTCTCGAAATCAACTCTCTGCAGCTGCTCGGTCTCTCGTTGACGGCTGACCCGAGATGGAACAAATACATTGAGTCAATTACTTCGTCCACCGCAAGGAAAGTTGGCTCCCTGTGCCACGCCAGGAATTTTTTCTCCCCGGAATCGATCCTCCAGATCTACAAATCAACAATTCGTCCTTGCATGGAGTATTGCTGCCATATATGGTCTGGAGCCCCTTCAGTTTGCCTCGGGGTTCTTGATAGGCTCCAG